TGGGGAATTCTGGGAGTTGAAGTCCAATCATCTTAAAGTGGCCAAGTTTGGACAACACTGGCCTAGGCTTTTGGTGAAGGACCTGGATCTTAAGCTCAGTTGGGAAACTGCCCTCACAAAATTGCTGCTTTTGGGATTTGTAGCCAAGTGTGCTAAGAAAAGAAACATCGAGGTCCTCCTCTGAACCTGGATCTCACCCATATGCCATTAAAAATCATGGATTGTCTCCTAGAATAGTGTTGGGGGGGGGGGAAACTGTTGCGCCAACATGGTATATGCTTTCTGCCAAATGAGGTCCAAAGTTTCCATTCCCACAAGTTTGAAGAGGGAGAGGAACTTCTGCCACAAAGTTGGGATTGTGTGAATGGTGCTTTTTCCTCTGATGGAACGGGCACTTTGTGATAATTACAAATAATTAAAGTGTTCTATTTATTAGGAAATAAGGAGAAATTCAACTAGCTGCACATAAAAAAAGGAGAGGGAAAATCTGTGCAAGTTTCCATAGTGTAGATATTATCTTAACACACAAAAGATCTCAGCTGGAAATTCAGTGGAAATAAGGATGGGACAGAAGTTTTATTCCTTCCTCAAAAGAAAGGATAGCATGGAAGAAACCTATATTTAAATATCCATCCAATCTAATGCTTGTTACTTCCTCACCCCTGAAATCCCGCTGTCTTCATCTTGGTATTCACTCCCACCTAGGTGTGCTTATAAAGTAGACCTGAACATCCTTTTCTGAAATTATATTCTCTAAAACCCTGCCAACTTTATTTTTATACTGATTTAATTCTCAACAATTGTCTCAATGAGTGATAGAAAATCAGTTAACCCCTTCTTTTTATCAAGTCATAAGTAACTGGGTTTTTAAGAAATGAAAATTAAGATAGTCCAATGACCATTTTTGTACTTATCAACTTATTTAATTATTCCATAAATCTGTAGCAGCAAGAATTTATAGAGGAATTCTTCATTTGGGAGTGCAGTATCTATGTTTTAGTTAGGATACGTTAGGAATAAACATTTGGTCTCAATCGGTGTTTTATTCTACTGTGTTCGGATTCTGCTTGACGATACACAGGCATAAGGAAAAGCATTTCAGGGGTCTGCATATAGCAGTTTCCGTAGTGTAGTGGTTATCACGTTCGCCTAACACGCGAAAGGTCCCCGGTTCGAAACCGGGCGGAAACATGTTTTCAATCTCGAAGCTACCTGGTCTAAATGACAAACCCGGTTTCTGTTTAAATTGATTTAGGTATTCAAAGTTCTTTTAATTGTACTTTATTTATCACGAACAGACGTTGCCTAAAGCCTGGCTGTTTCCCGCAAATAAATTAACACGTTGCAATAAATTTAATATTTACTACACTCACAACGATAGGGAAGGGTAACTTTTTTAAAAAGCATGACTTTTAAAAAATATATATTTCGTGCACCTCAACGTTTTAATATTGTAACTATGCAGCTTTGAAATAATTTTTGTTACTTTCGTTTCCGACTTGGCGGCGCAAAAGTAATAGTAATGGTTTTATGTAGCTGCGGCTAATGAGCGTCCCACTTTCTAGGGTGTACAATAGACATTCCAAGGAACCCGAATATATTATACTTAATTTCCACTTTGTCGGATGACAAATACACTTCCGATCGTCTTTGTTTCTAGTCATCCACACCGACTAAAGACGTAATAATTTACGGCGCTAGGTGTCATGGGAAATGTAGTTTACGCAGGTAGAAACGTCCCTTCCCACGAGTACGCAATTAAGCTCCGCCCCGATTTCAACCGCAGCCATCGCCACTCTTTCGTGGCCGGAATTGTTCTGGGAACGGAAGTGAGCCTTCAGCCGCTACCAACCAAGGAAGCGGCGTGGGCCGCGTCATCACAAAATGGCGCCCTGAGTCGAGGAGGCTTCTGTTCTCGCGTTACCACCCCTATCAGGTGTGTTTGCTCAGTAATCCTGAAGGGAGGGGGAAGGAAGCGGGTAGGACGGAACCATTTGGGCCGGATGGCGGGGGAAGAAGGAAGGAGAAGAGAAACCCGGGCTCGCCGGAGAGGATTCCGAAGGACTGAGGAGAGCAAGGGGGTGGGCGCCAGACCAGCCGGCGGGCTTGTGTGACAGGAGCGAGCCGGCAGTCGCGGAGGTCAGATTTGGGACCAGAGCAGCTGCTCTCCCTCAGCCAGATCCTCAACCAAAGGGGAAGGCTTAAAAGATGCTGGTGCCAGTGTGCGCTCTGCTCTTGCAGAGTGGCTTTCCCCAAGCAGATGCCCTCCGCAGTGTTGCCCTGAAACTCCCGTCACCCCCCGTGTATGTGTTTGTGACTGGGAGAGGCACCCCGCCGCTCCACCAGGAGCTCCAGGCAGTTTGCACAGGGAGGTCTTCCCTCAGGAAGGGGTCTCCCCTTACTGCCCTATGGGGAAGGTTGGGCTGAGGGAGAGCAGCTGCTCTGGTCCCAAATCTGACCTCCGCGACTGCCGGCTCGCTCCTGTCACACAAGCCCGCCGGCCGGTCTGGCGCCCCCCCCCCTCCTCTCCCCCACCCTTCGTAAACCTCCCCCGCGCGTCCCGGTTTCCC